CTGTGCGTTGATCACCAATCAGTCAGTCAGTCAGTCAGTCAGTCAGTCAGTCAGTCAGTCAGTCAGTCAGTCAGGACAAACAGTTTTATATATAGAGATGTTTTTATTTATTAAATTCAGTTTTTGATGTTAAGATATTTTACTTTTGGTATTGCAAATATGGTACGGTTCAGGTTTCGCTTCAGGTTGGGCTACTTTTGGATCTAACTTAACTGCATTTAAGGTTAGGTGCAGGCATACACCATACAACATAGTTTTAGATCGAACAAAAATGTACTTGACGGGGTTCCCGATCCACAGAAGATGAATGGCTACCAATTTTTCCGGCTGGCAGCCCTTTTGCTGTTCTTATTCGTAAGCCCCAACTTTCTACAGTCAAAAACACAGAAAAAATGTTGAATATCATACTATCATATATATTGAATGGTTTTTATAGCCCAATTATAAGGTTATTAAATATTTGATATATCGAAAAGTGTTTAGAGTCAAAAATATGCACGACGACAATTGAAAACTCTGGTTTATAGATTTCAAGTGACTTCTATACTTTTTTAAGTTTTTAGATCTTTGTGTTAATTTACTTATATTGGGCTGCAATTCAGGATATCATGATATCGATTTTAGATCTAAAACACTTTAGATTTTCTCATAAAGCATGAAAATTCTTATGGTTTAATAAAGTTTTGAATAACTATAGGTTAATTGGCAGAAGATTGACTTAAAATCCGTAATCTGTCTATAATCAAGGCAATTCATAGATTTCTTATTAATTTGATTTCTTTTTCTATAAAAAATACACGGAATACGTAGTTTTCAAAATCTCAGGTAAAATCCCACGTCAGGCGTTTAATTTTTATAAATCTGTCAAAACTCAATTGATTAAATGAAATATTCTTTTGATCAAAGTTTTTTATATTCATTTCTTTCTTTGTTATACTTTTAAATTGTTGTAAATATTATTTTCAATATTAATCAATTAATATTAATCAATTAACATCAATTCTAATTTTTCTGCTCTGTTGTAATGATTTTTCAATCTTAATTTGATGGATATTTTCTTACTGTTTCAGTTTCGAAGTACTTCATAAAACCCTTGCACAAGAGAAAATCTGTTGATATACCTATATATAAACCTATATATGAAACATACCCGAATTTTATCAAGCGAAAATGCATTTGATTCGAACTAAAGGCCAACAAAGTGGTAAAAACAAAGAAAGCAATAACTTGGTTTCCAATAGATACGCAACTAGCACACCATTACACAAGGGTTAAATGGACACTCACACACACACACACACACACACACTCGCACACACTGGCACACACGCACCGAATACATACACACGGCAGAGCTGAGCAAATTATGTGCTTTATATGTATATATTTTTAGGGGCGCTCAACCTTTCGAGCGACTTAAATTCTATCTACCAAAAGGCATTGTGCCCCTGTGTTTGTGTGTGTGTGTGTGTGTGTGTGTGTTAGGGGGGCTTGTGTGCGTGGGTGTGGCTGTGTGGGTGTGTGCTTGTGTTTTGCCTTGGCTGTGGCAGCGATTTAAAGACAAAATCCCCAAAATAAGCCAAAGCGAGGCTAACAAAGCAAACAAACCAGCAAAAACCAAGCGAACTAAGCCAAATTAAATCAATTTTTCCGCATCGTTTGCGTTTTGCTTATTTAAAAATAAATTTAATTAGTTTTTTTTATGTTTATTTTTATTTATTTTCCATTTTCTTTTCCATTACCTGCAATTCATTTATGATGATTTCTGCTTGATTTATTTTTGTGTGTCGCTGAATATATTGGATTGCTGGTTGGGGAAAAACATTTTGCGTGGCCAAATGTTTAATCAATATGCGGCCAAATATATCCGTTAAGTCCCCCTCGCCCACCCCTACGCCTGGCAGGCAGGTGCTGCTCCACTCAGCTCGACATCCTTTGACATATAGAGTACATGATTTTAGCAGGGGATTGCGATGACGCCCAGTCCTTCCCCATACGAACCCAAAAATAAATATTGTTCTTATATACCGCACAGATTTTAAGGCCAGACTTTGAAAACTAACCGATACATATATTGTTAAATGTATGTATGATATAATGGGCAAAAAGACTTCAAATTAAAACAAATAATACTTAAAATAGCAGGATATTGATACATGTGTAAACATATATTAAAATGTATTTTTGCACATATTTGAGGAGAATTGTAAAGCTTGTATATATTCTAACGAAGAGTATGTGTTTCATCATTTTGAATACTTGATATGACTGTTAAGTCTGAATTTGGTATTTGTGCCCAAAAATTCCAAGCAGCAAATTGCAGGAGCTACATATGTCAATGCACAGGTAGATTGTGTTGCATGCGTGGATAACTTTGATGGTGGAACGTGCTACCTTTCCTTGCCGCCCCAAACCGAGCAACTTGTGTGTTCAATTTTTTGGCGTTGCCAAAACAAATTGCTTGACGTTGCTGGGGCCTGTAAGTCCCTTCCCTCTCTGGGGCCCTTCCATGCACCTGGACGGAATGTATAAAACAGTCAACGCAATATTGTCGTTTGACACGACACAAAATAATAGCCACATAACAAGAACAAGACCAAACTAAAGAAAACTTAGAAATAACTTTATAGCGATCATGTCTTCGATTGGGTGGCATGGCAGAGGGAGGGTATATGTGTTTGCGGGGCAGTTAAGGTTTAACATTCACCATTGTCACAAAAGCCTTTTGAATTTGTTTTGTTCTAGGTTTCCTTTTGAGGTCATTGGGTTAAGTTTACGAGTTGGCACGCATTTGCTGTCAAGTTTTGTCTCCTCGCTTCTCTTCCACACTTTCCCACTCGCTAAACCCGCAAATCTCTTCACTCAACTATTGTAAAAGCGAAAACTTTCCGATTGATTTAAGTTCTTTGCGTTTTTATTTCTTTTCACTTATTGTAAACGGTTGATTTTTTGTTAGCAGAGTCTTTTTTATCATAAGTGAATATGTTCGATGTATCCTGCGTATTCTAAAAAGAGTTTTGAACAGCTCTTCATTTGAAGTAAGTTTGTCTTTGTGAGGAAGTTAAGTGTTTATTGTCTATGGGTCTTGGATTAATTCATCCGGTTTTATATACTTATTTGTTTTATTTCTCAAATATACGCGAAAATATTTCGTGTTTGTCGACATTTTCAAACTAAAAATAAAACAATCAAAATATTTTCAACTGACTTTTTAAATATCGGAACCAAAACATTGTTTCAGTCTCATCATAAATAAACCAAATGTTTTGTTATTAACAAGAATTAAAAGCACACTTTTTTGCACTCTTGATACTACGGCAACATTTTATTATAATTTTGTATCATTTGATGCCAATTAAAATAAAATTTTTAAAAATAAATATATGAAAAGTTGCCCTTTTTAGTTAAATAAAGTTTTAGTTAATTTTTATGAATGTTTCGCTATGTTTTCGCTGCAGACCCTAGACAGACATTGTTTTTGGCTGTCGCTATAACAATACTGGCATCCTATGTTAGTCTGGGTGCGTTGGCGGGTCTGTCGCGTTATACCATTAGCTCGATGGTTGAAAGGGGTATCATGGTTATGTGCAAATGTTTGTAACAGGCAGAAGGAACCCATAAATTATCACGAGAAGGAACTGATTCGTTGTAGCCATGTCTGTCTGTCTGTTTTGCTGTGAAGATTGAATTATATAATCTCCCACATATTAACCCATTTTCACAATATCGATTAACATTAATATCGATACATAGCTTTCAAAGCATAACTTGGTATGAAGAATCTCCTTTTGTCTATATACAGATTAGGTATATATCACCTTTTGTATATCTTCCCCCAATCTACCAAAAATTCAGGGAAGACTTATTTCCATAAAGGTAGAGCCTTGCACCTTAGTATTTTCGTACTTTTGTCAACCATTGCATTGAAAATTTCATAATGATCGGACTATAAACACCGAAGTTAATCTAGAATGCTTTGTCCATAGTGTGGGGCAAGGGGAAGAAGCAGCACAGCGCCCATTCGCGTTTGTGTGTGTGCTTTTGTGTGAAGGATGCTAGCATGTTTTAAACCACAGCTCGACGCTCAGTCCAGGGTATCTTCGAGTCGGGCGCTTTAGACTGAAGCACTCTTGTTTCTCTTTTGTCAATTTTTGGCCCGTTCGTGTGTCGTCTGTTTGTGTAACCCTGGCTTTAGCCATCAAAACGACTGGCAGTGACCTTTGGAATTTGCCAATTGCCGCTGCATTCGACATTATACAAGTTCACACATGTGTGTGTGTGTTTGTGTGTATTTGTGTTGGTCCAGTGATGCTCAAACTGTGCGCTGCTAAGTGAGCTACACTGAATATTGCCAACCAACCAGCCAAAGGCAACAAGAACAACCTCAACTAACTCATTAACACAGAAAACTTTTTGGTATTTCCCGTTTACCCCACCCCGCCCTGAAGGCCCCCTCCCAGTCAGTTTTTGAGGTCACACACAGGTTTGCCTTGCCGCCTGCGTTATCAGCGGGGGAAGGGTGGAGCTGTTGGAAGGGTGAAATGGTGGTCGGTTGGTTTTCGGTTTTGGATGTAGCTATTTTAAAGAGTTTCCGTCGCCGTGGCCGTCGGTATTTTTTTAGCAGCCACTTGAAGCAATTACTAATATATCGCTCTCTATTCTTATTGCAGGATATTGCGGCTTATATCAAGAAGGAATTCGACAAGAAATACAATCCCACATGGCATTGCATTGTGGGCCGCAACTTTGGATCGTATGTGACACACGAGACGCGCCATTTCATATACTTTTATTTGGGCCAGGTGGCCATTTTATTGTTTAAGAGCGGTTAAAGTATTGTCGAGTCGGATGAAGTGGTGGTCAGGAGGCTGGAGGAGCAACAGCAGCAGCAGCAGCAGCAACGTTTACAACAAGAGGAAGCGTCAGCTGCAGCTGCATCTGCTGAAGCGCAGCGGGAGGGGCAGCAGCAGCAACAACAGACAGGGGATTTAGATGTGCAGATGGATGTGGAGCTTGAGGAGGACGAGGACGAGGACGAGGAGGAGGAGGAAGAGGAGGAGGAGGAGGAGGTGGAGGTGGAGCAGGAGCAGCAGCAGCAGCAGGCAACAACATCAGAAGTTGACAACGATGAGGAGTTAATGGAACAGCAGCAACAACAACAGCTACAACAACAAGAATCATTTGAAGACATGGAACTGGATCTGGAGGAATTGGCGTTACCAAACGTGATGCAACATTACGTTGAGTATGCGGAGGAGCAGGAACACGAGCACGAACACGAGCACGAACACGAGCAGGATCCAGATCCAGATCCAGAGCAAGATGACAATGTTGAAGAAGATGATGATGACACCATAGTGGAGGACAGCGATGCAACCAGTTGCAGCAGCTGCCTACGCGCCGAAATGGAAGAGGCCGAGTATCAGCAGCAGCTGCAGGAGCAGGAGCAGCAGGAACAGCAAGAGCAGCAGGAGCAGGATCAGCCCCAGCAGCAGCAGCAGGATCAGCCCCAGCAGCAGCAGCAACAACAGCAGCTTGCGTCGTTATCAGCAGAATCGCCAGAGCCGCCGTCTCCGCCGTCTCTTCCACCGACAGACATTACCTGAAGCAGTTGCTGTTGCAGTAGCTATCGCATCCTGTACAGCTTTTCTTTAAAGGCCGCCCAAAGTCGTAGGAGCTAAATAAACCCTAATACAATAGGCACACACAGACACACACACACACACACACACACACACACACACACACACACACACACACACACAAAACACATTTACACATACACACACGTACACCAACACACATTTATACAACTGCTAGGCATTACCATTGTATGAATCGACTTACGCAACAGTTGGACCAACGCTGTTTAGTTTCTATCTTTATATCTGGTCAGTTCTCCTTGTGACCCCATTCCAATTCCTCCTTTTTCCGTGTACCATTTAAGTTATCTACAATTTTCTTTCAACTAAGTTTTTTTTTGTTGCTGCTTTGCTTTAGTATTTCCTAGTTTGGACACATAAATTGCTTAATTGTAATTGTAGTTGTTTAACATGGAAAATTGTAACATACAAAACATAAAAAACACATATTTTATTGCATTTTTAAGCTGTTTTCTTTGAATTATGGTTTTTTCTATTCATTTATTTTTCGCCCAATGGTTTTGCACGCTGGTTGGCGTCTTGGCTTAGCATGTGCAGCAACCAATAAATGAGCAGCTAATCGCAGATACACACAGACACACAGAAGACACACACACCATACACTGGCATACATAGCACAGGCAACAACCACCACTGCAACCGAACGAACAAGCTACAAAAAAGAATACAAGAAAAATTTTTTGAATACCATATTGTTTTTTTGTACGCAATCCAACTACAGATAAAAAATAATACCAACAAAACTGTGCTGCAATAATGGATATGAATTGATATTTGGATATTTGGAACTACTTTCCATATTTGTGTGTGTTTTTTTGAGCAATTTTTAAAGTTGTCTCTCTCGAAACGTATTGGGCAGCAGCAGTATCATAAAATGTAGTTGGTTTTGCTTTGAATTTGCTCTGGTTTTTTGTATCTCAATTGTTAAATCAATTGAGCAGATAAGAGAAAAAGTAAAACAAAATATAAATATCCATCCACAACAGACATTCAATGTGTGAAAAAGAAAAAGAAATAAAGAAAAATAAAAAACCAAGAGTAAAGCAAATTATTAAATAACCATGAAATATCATGATATTGTCATCTTGTCGTTATATATGTGTGCAATATGTATGTTCTTTAAACTTAAATTTTTTTTTTTAATCAGCAAAATAAGCAAACTAATACAAAAACAAAAAGTAAATATATATTGAACTTAAATTGGTGTAAATTATGCGAACAAAGCAAACAAAATATATAAAAAAGACAAAAATATAAAAAATTCAAGAACACAGAAGCAAAAAGAAATAAATAATCTACTAAACAGCTTAAGCTAAAGAAAAGATGCAGATTAATACATACATACGTAATTTCCTATTCACACAGCAACAGGATATTTATCCATATGCCGGCGTTTAGCAGCACTCACAATAGCACATACACAGACACACACACACACACACACATGACACATTTGCCGTTACTTTTTTATACACCGCACCACTCTTTGCTACATTTACGTTTTAGAATTTTGCTGCACGTTTTCACACAACTACTATTTATGCTAACGGTAAAAATAAACACCGACACACAAACACACACTCACACATACACACATAAGAAATAACCAAACTAGAGAAACGAAAAGTATGTTTTCTTTAAATGACTATACATATACATATTAAAACCCACTCAAACAGACACAAGAGGACTTCTAATAAGTGTTTATATATATACAATACATATAAAAAAGCATAATTTTTTTGTCATAATGCAAAATATTTGTGTGCTACAAAAGCATTAAAAAAAAACAAAAAAAAATTTTGATGTATAACTTCAATGGAAAGAGAAAAAAAAGAACAAATTGATATGAATTGAATGGGAAAAACAAAAGAAATTAAAATGATTTGTATTGTAATGTTAGGCGATAAATATCTGCCGAGTGTAGGGAATTTGATGAGAGGTTCGAATTTGTTTTAACTTTCACTTTCAGTTCTAGTATCATTGACTTTACCGTTGAATAACGGTAAACAGACTTTAGTAGCGTTCAATTCTCTTTTATCCAACTCGCAAACTCAAAGAATCGAGCTGCCGCTTCCTTTTAAACAAACAAACACAAAAGACATGAAGAACAAGCTTAAAACTTAGTTTGTAACTTTAATTTCCTAAAGTTGCTTTATACTATATATTATTTACATGTGTATTCATTTCTATAAGTATCGCGTTCTTCGACAGGCTCTATTGAATTTTATTGTGCATGGAATGAAGATTGCATAAGTTTTTTGTAAGAATTAGTAAATTATATGAAAACGGTGGAGATGGAACATTTAAAAGTATATACGAGTAAGAAGGCATGTGAAGAAAAACAAAAACAAAAACCAAATGGGATCTTTAATGTGAAATAAAAGTACATACTTCTTGAAAACAATGGAAGTCTTTTATTTATGGAGGGTTACAAAACATATCGATTTTACAGAAAACGCGTTAAAGTTTCTAATTTACCATGCAGAAACAAGAAGAAATTGATATCTTCTCAAATGAAGAGTATACAAGCCATGAATATAAAAGTAAACGCAATAAAAAGTAAACATGATAAACCGAATAATTCTGCACGGTTAACTTAAAAATGTATGTGGGTCTTGAAGTAAATAAGCGATATATACATATTCCGTCAAAAAGGAGGCTTTAATTTGTCTAAAATCCCAAAAACCAATTATTTGAATAGAAATTTTGGGATTTCTTGTTTATTAATATTGATCAACAAATTTGATAAATCATTGGTAAGAAATCCGTACAAGTGCAATTGTAGTATGACCATACTTTTTGAATATATCGCTGTCGAATTATTTGGTACTACTTGCAGTATATTTTTAGTAATGTGGCTTATTTAGTAACATTTGACGTTGAAAATTGCGTATTTTTTATGGCCATTGGCCAGCAGCTGTTACGCGAACGAGAGAGAATAGTCCAAGCCGAAAGCCGTCGAAATGTTGCGTACGTTGTCGCGCGTTAGTGAATTACCAATTATTGTAAAACAATTGCAAAAAGTACGTAACTGTAACGCAGCCGTTGCTGTCACTAACAAAACTCTTGTCACTGTCACCAATACAAACCAACAACAACATACAAAGCAAACCAACAGCAGCAGCAGCAACTACTGTAACAACAATAGCAACAAAAACAGCATCAACCGCAACAACAAAAACAACAACCACTGGGCAACGCAGCAGCAACAACTTAAAAATCATCTAAGATTTGACAGCAGACGCAGTTATTCATCGTCATTTTTCGGTTTATTCCAGAATGCAGCACAGTCCGGTGTCGCAAAGACCAACAATTATGCCACGGAAGCGACCGTGCAGGTGAATCGAGTAAGTATATAAAGAGATACACCCCCAACTAATCCGTTCTAGCGAAAAGAAAACGCTAGTGATTACATAATGCGTCTGTGTGTGTGCGTGCGTCCGTCTGTCTTTTCATTTTGTATGACCTGATTGCACAGAGTTGCATTTTCGCGTTTTGGTCGTCAATTAGTAGAATTGCCGGCGCCAAGGTCACTAACTGACACTGTCTTACAAGCAGCGCGTGACCGACGTCGGCAGCGGCAGCTACACGCACTTTCTTATCAGCATGCAGCAGCCGTGTGCTCTCCAACGCTGTAAACTGATCGACGGGTTATGCAAAAAGAGCCCTGCATTCCTCTCGCACAATTTTTCCGTATTTTTCTGTATGCGTACATTTTAAACAAATAGTTTGTTTTCATGCTGAAAGAACAAATTGAATTCAAAGAAGAGCAAGATTAAATTAACAGAAAGAGCTCAAAAAACACGTAGGATTATAAATGTTGTATGAATATATAGTATTATTTTTATACTGAAAAATACCTGATTTATAAAAAATGGCAACACTTGCATGGAAAACATTGGGCACCTGTCTCCCTTCCGCGCATATTTATTTACACATTTTCTCACTCACTCGCACACTCTTTGTATACCTTTCTCTGTCGCTGCCGTGTGCGTCTAATTGGAACAGCCATTCAAACTACATCGCTTGGAGGAGGGACCCGAGACCACAGTGAAGCTTACAAAGGATGAGGCGCTCAAATACTACACACAGATGCAGACAATCAGACGCATCGAGACGGCCGCAGGCAATCTGTACAAGGAGAAGATCATCCGCGGTTTCTGTCATCTGTACTCGGGTCAGGAGGCCTGCGCCGTTGGCATGAAGGCGGCTATGCGGGATGTTGACAATATTATATCGGCATATCGTGTGCACGGCTGGACCTATTTGATGGGCGTGCCACCTTTGGGTGTGCTTGGCGAACTGACAGGTGTACAGAGCGGTTGTGCGCGCGGCAAGGGCGGCTCTATGCACATGTACTCGCCAAATTTCTTCGGCGGCAACGGTATTGTTGGCGCCCAGGTGCCGCTTGGCACCGGTGTCGCTCTTGCCTGCAAGTACAAGGGAAACGGCGGCATGTGCCTAGCCCTTTATGGTGATGGTGCTGCCAATCAGGGCCAGGTCTTTGAGGCCTACAACATGGCCTATCTGTGGAAGCTGCCCGTCATCTTTGTCTGCGAGAACAACAACTATGGTTCGTAATTAGGCACATATTCAGTATATATACATATATATGTATCTAATCTGAGACACTAATTTCGCGACAGGCATGGGCACCAGCTCTGAGCGCGCCTCGTGCAATACGGACTACTATACGCGCGGCGATGCCCTGCCCGGCATTTGGGTGGACGGCATGGATGTGCTGGCCGTGCGAAGCGCCACCGAGTTTGCCATCAAGTATGTGAACGAGCAAGGCCCACTGGTTATGGAGACGAATACCTATCGGTATTCGGGACATTCCATGTCCGATCCCGGCACATCGTATCGTACGCGCGAGGAAATCCAGGAGGTGCGCCAAAAGCGTGATCCTATCACCTCCTTCAAGGAGCTGTGCATCGAGCTGGGTCTTATTACCACCGATGAAGTTAAGGTCGGTGCTGCCAAGATTTTCAAAAGCAACGTTTTTTTCTAATTGCAAATTGTTGTGCAGGCCATTGATCTGAAGGTGCGCAAGGAAGTGGATGAAGCTACCGCCCTAGCCAAGGGCGGTACTGAGCTGCCACTTAGCCATTTATGGACCGATGTATACTCCAATTGCTTGGAACCCAAACTGCGCGGCACCAACGGCTACAATATTGATCACATCCAGGAGCGGAAGGGTGTCAATCATTAAACAGTTCAAATGCAACGATTCTATAAGATACATATACCCAGGCACACACACATACACACGAGCCACACCTACACACACGTATGCATAACAAGCGAAATCTCTAGATCTTAAGCCCAAAGTTGAAATTAGAAAATTTTGTTTTTCGAGTAGATAAAATGCGTATACTTTACGATTTGAACGCGTGCAATTGTGAATGAATAATAATTTTTTGTTTAGATATATAACTTACCCACACAGACACACAAATACACACAAATCCAGACAGATACAAAGACAGACGGATACAAAGACACGAATTATGCACACCCTGCCCAACTCCCTAAACACACTTAAGACCCAAAGTCAATCACTCAACCTGGGCCAGTGGCAACAGCAACGGATATTATATGAACGTGTTCAATATGGTTAAAGCGAGGTGTAAATTGTTGAAATATAAACTAAATACATACATAAACAGGTTGTGAAATTTTATGAACTATTTGGGCAATTGAAAAACGCAGCTAATGAATAGAATATATGGAGAAGAATATATACAGGCTCGACTCGGGAACCCGGCTTGCTACTTTCGTTAGTAGATCTTAGGCAGTGCTTTGTCAAATCTTAAATGTAGTTGTTTTAATTGATGCACATACAATAACTTAATTATTTTCCTATTGTTACTGTGAGCTCTTTATAATATTACAGTTCGACTTTGATGAAATGTTGTCAATGTGTTTGTGATATGTGCTGTTAATGTGTATTTATTCCTTGCAATAGGCGATCAATGAAAATAAAAACAAGCGTAAACAAGCTATGATGCCTATATTTAATAGATGTCCGATTATAAAAAAAACTTTCCAAAACATAAATAGATGTAATGGAGCTTGTACTATTGTGACTAAGTCAGGATTTCTTGGACTTTCCTCTTTGGCTTAAAAATTAGACATATATATGTATGTTTGCCGTAAAACGAGGAATATGTAACAAGTGATTTTCAAAAAGTATCAATGCTTAGTTTTTGTTTTGCGATCAAGAACAACAATAAATATAGATAAAATTCATATGCAGTATAGTTCAAAAATATCCTCGTGAATGCACAATATATTGTATTTCAAAATTAAAAAAAGCCAAGGTAAGGCAAAGGTTATCTTTGGGTGTGCTGAGCTAACTCAGATAAGACTATTTTTATAGACAGCATAGATTGAAGAAGTGATAGCTTTAGACAGAGATGTAAAAGGGCCCAGTTATATTGATTTAGATCATAAACCTATTATCTCAATATGTTATATGTTTTATCAACACAACTGCTGCAATTGGGATACAAAAAGAAAAGCCAAAATATGTTTTTTATAAACGCAGATCACATTGAAATATCAATCATTAAATCCAATGTTTCATGAGCACATTAATTTGTTTTTTTTTTTTTTTTCTTGGCATTTTAGACTTTCTGTTATATTTTTCAATGCGGCGGTATTTTAAAATTATAATAAAATTCATACTTTCTTAAATCTTTCGACACTACATAACCGATATTTATAAATTGATAGGGGGTAGATCAAAAGATTTTGCGATCTACGGGGCCCACCAAGAAGATCCTTAGCTCGAACCTTTAAAACTAGCTAGAGAAATGCTGTCAGCAGCTAAACGAACGACCAAGGGCCGTCAATCTTTTATGCAATTTCATTTGCTCTATAATTTATGGGGTTGTAAGTGTAAAACGCGATTTATTTGCCGGCCGCAACGAAACCTGACTTCGGGCTGCTCAACGCTGACGCTGGACAACGTAAGTACCGTATTTGGTCAAAAACATGATTATCCATTGAGCTGCTTTCTTCTTCTTTGCAGACTTTCAAGTGCTATGAGCTGGAGAAGGGCCCACCCACGGATGTTGAGCTGTCGCGTGAAGATGCATTGAAAATGTACAAGCAAATGGTGGAGGTGCGCCGCATTGAGACCGTCGCTGGCAACTTGTACAAGGCGAAGCACATACGTGGCTTCTGTCATCTATATACTGGCCAGGAGGCCATTGCCGTTGGCATGTGCGCCGTGCTCCGTAAAAAGGATAGCGTTATTACAGCATATCGTGCCCATGGCTGGTCCCATCTGCTTGGCATTTCGTCATTGGGCCTAATTGGTGAACTCGTCGGCGTTAAGGGCGGTTGCAGTCGCGGCAAGGGTGGCTCTATGCATACATATACGGATAATTTCTATGGCGGCAATGGCATTGTTGGCGCCCAGGTGCCAATGGGCGCTGGCGTTGCGCTGGCTCATCGCTATCGTGGCGATGGCGGCGTTTGTGTAACATGCTATGGCGACGGTGCGGCCAATCAAGGTCAGGTGTATGAGGCCTACAACATGGCCAAGCTATGGTGCCTGCCCTGCATCTTCGTCTGTGAGAATAATCACTATGGCATGGGCACTTCCGTGGAGCGGCATGCGGCCCTAACAGATTTCTATATGCGTGGGCAATATATACCCGGCCTCTGGGTCGATGGCAACCAGGTGCTGGCCGTGCGCAGTGCTACACAATTTGCCATTGATTATGTGCAGAAACACGGACCCATTGTTCTGGAGATGTACACGTACCGCTTCGAGGGACACTCCATGTCCGATCCGGGTACGGCATATCGTTCGCGAGAAGAAGTCAAAAAGGTGCGCTCGGAACGGGATCCCATCGACAGTTTCCGGAAGCAAATAATTGCACTATGCTTGGCCGATGAGGAGGAGCTGAAGAAGATCGATGCTGCGGTCCGCAAAGAAATCGATGGGGTATCCAAAAAGGTGCTGGCCGATCGCGAAGTCGGTCTGGAAGAGCTCGTCGCCGATATCTATTCTAAAAATATGGAACCAAAAATACGCGGCGTCTCCGGCTATACGCTCGACCACAAACGCATCTCGGAGGTTTGCTTTGGCAAGCCCAAACGTACGCCACCTGAGGAGATCAATAATGTGCCCGTCGGTGATGCAGCACTTCTGGCCGCCCAGATGAAGGCAAAGCAGGAGCAGGACGCCAAGAAATCCAAAGAAAATCCAAAAGCGTCCGGTGATGTTAAAAATGACGCTAAGCCAGCGGCTGATGCTAAAAAGGATGCTAAGCCAGCGGCTGATGCTAAAAAGAATGATAAGCCGGCAGCAGGGGAAGGTGTTGCTAAAAAATCGGATAAGCCACCAACTGCTGCGCCACCAACTGCTGCACCACCAGCAGCTGCCCCGCCGCCGAAAGTCGGAGATACGCCGAAAGATGGCGATAAGCCGAAAAGCGATGACCAGCCAAAAGCCTGAATGCCATAAAATACATGATCATCAAAATTAGAAGGGAGAATTCGAACTTCCAAGTTAGTCCAGTCAGTAGGAAGCAATAAATATTGGCAACAGAAGCTGTATCAGCTTTGTGCTTTTAACAAACTTAACGAATAAATGAACAACACCTTTGCCAGCTACCCTTTCCGCAGTGTTCTACACATACACAGCTGTGAGAGCTTTTTCAAAGCAGCTCTGCCGTGGCTGGTCTGGTCGTGTGCCTTGCTTGACCGCCCCTCGCTTTAGCTTTTCACATTTTCCAGGCATATGTCGTTGAAAGCTCTGACGAAATGTTTTCGGTTTGAGCTTTGGCACGGAGCTTTCAGCTTTTGGCAGGCACCTGTTAGTAGGAGCTGTGTAACAGCTTTTAAGGCTTGAGCTTTATTTAAGCAGCCCTTGCACTGACACCTGTGAGAGCTTTTGCGCATTTCGATGCGTTTTCATTCTTTCCATCTCTCTGTCTCTCTCTCTTTCGCTCTGTCCTTATCACTCTCTACAATTGGCGCAAATCGGGTACGACGCGTTCCATTCATTTATCAAGCCGTTAAATGGCAGCTGCTCACGCGCTCACTGTCTGCCCAGCCTACCCTAAGCAACACCAAACCCCCGCCCCATGTGCGCAGCCATAACGAGCCCCCCCGCAGCTGTAAACCCAAAGACCAGCCCGTCGCTGGCGGGACTTGTGCCTGTTGCGTGGCAGCATTCGATCTGCTCTGTGTTAGTCAGTCTCATCGCGATGCTCTGGCGTTGATCTTCACGTGCGCTGCGACGGAATTCGTGGTGCTCTTCATCAATCTGCTTCCTCTTAATCATTTTGTTTTACGTTTCGTTTTTTTGTTTTTTTTTTTTGTGATTTGTTTTTGTTTCTGTTTAAGCCGCGTGCTGCGTGGGTGCTGAATATTGTGTGAATGCTGAATATCTTCAATATGTTTAATAATGAACGATCGTTTCACGTTTGATTTTCTTTGGCAGCAGTCCATTGGCAAATATAAATAAATATAATAATAATTCAATAAGCTGACTTTGGCGGCTTTTACATACATACATAATTTTGTTTATTTACGGTATTTAAAAAATTGTAATATGTATATATTTATGTTTGTTGAATAAGATATATATGTTTATATATTTATTTTTATGCACATTGAATTGCACATTTTTCTAAATTTATTTTAAAATATTTTCAACTTATTGGTTTTTTTCTGATTTTAATAATTGCTTAGATATCTTTTGCTATATTTATTAACTTTCTAATATCTTTTCGTTATTTTTGTAAATCTTTTTATGCCCTCGAATTTTCGAAAATTTATGTAAAATATTTTCAACTGTTTGCTACATTTATGAATTTTCTAATATTTGTCCGTTATTTTTGTTAAGCTTTCGAAACTTTCGAATTTTATGTAAAGTATTTTTTTAAATTTTTGGATTTCATTTTTCTGATTTTTTTTATTGTTTTAAAAAATTGCCTTCACATCTCTCTACAAGAGAGTTTTATAATTTTGTGATGAATGTTCGTCTGCCTATTTCTATGAAAGCTAGTCTTCAATATTAAAGTTAGCCTCATGTGTTGCAGTCAGCCGGATTGGATCAGTAGATCGTATAGTTGCCACAGGAACAATCGGTCACAAACTTAGTTTATGTGTTAAGAAATTTTTTGTTTTTCAAGATATCTTGAAACAACTATTTTATAATTCTCATAATGCTCCTTACATATGTTTAAAATCTTATTGACATGTGGGTAATCGCTTGAATGTGAGTTTTTCTTTGGGTAAATATTTTGCTTTTTAAGATATCTTAACACAGCTATTGCAAGCCTTACAATTCGCTTCACACATATTCAAAAGCGCCTTATGCCTTATGTCCGCAAGGGTATTAAAGCTTCGGTGTGTCGCAGTTAGAGAGAACCTCTTGCTTTATTTTATTTAACTAACAATTTCAAATTTGAATATCAATAATATTTCGTTTAGCTTTGCTTGTGATTTTTCACACATATATACTTTTGATGGGCTACCATTTAATACTTTATATGTTTTTTGATTGTTATGTTTTCGCATTATTTTTATTACCGCTTTATGGCAAAAGTTTTTTTATATTCTTTTTTTTTTTTTTGGGTAGTGTATAACGCAAGTGTTGACAGCTTAATTTTATTTTATTTTATTTTACACATTTTGATTATATTTTTTTATATGATTTTATTTATATTTGATTTGATTACATGCTGCCGCATATATTAACGCCCCGCCGTGTGAATAGTTTTATTCAAATTTTTTGCCATTCTTTCGTTTAACGCGGTGGTACCTATAACTAGTGCCAAATTAATGTGAATTTTCTGAAATATATATATTTTATATATATATATATTTTGATTTCACATATTTTCAGCATAAATTTGAAAAGTTATCAGAAAAAAGTTAAAGTTCCGTTGCGAGATGTTGCAATGAATAAGTACATATATATGTATATATATATAGTTAATTGTGTTGTGCTATAATTTATATAAATATATACATGTATATACGCATATATGTGTGTTAAAGACTGTACGACAAATCTTTTGGGAGCAACGAGAAACATATTTCAAGGTAATGACATGTTCTATGCATAATTTAGTGTTTCTTAATTTATTTATTTATAATGCTCAACATTATTGAGCGCTTAAAGCTGAATCCAAGTGCTGAGACAGCCAAAGGGTACAAATAGCTAAAAATCTATATTATAAACATATGCACATATACAGGCATAGGTAGCCACAAAACGCAGGTGTGTGTTGCTGTCCGTTGTCTTTCAAGTGACACACTTGACTGGCAGTTAAGAGCAGCCGAACTTGTACTCTGTACTTGTGTATATGCATAGAGTATATAGCATATGTACTCGCACTCCTCATACACTTATACATGAAACGCAGCTGATTTGGCATTTTTTTGTATTTCCGCTACATTTGCATAGCCGAATTTGAAATGCCCAACCCCCCGCCGCCGTTTAGAGCGCGTAAGATCTGATGGTTCTACGGACATATGCGATGCGGCGATAGCCCATTAAAATAATGCCAAGGAATCGCACACACTGTGCGCTTCGCAGCGCGTTTCATTCCAATTGATATTGTACATTTACATTGCCAGGCAAAACGGTGACAATTTCTTGGGCACATTTCGTATGCCCCCAGCCGTCAGCCGTCAGCATTCGAGAGTGAAAGAGATATTATCTAAATTTAGATTTCGGAATTTGGTTTGATTTTTTAATTAATTCGTTTGTTTGTGGAGTTTTCGGTGTTTGCACGCGATATTTCATGGGTGTATTGCGTGACTCGTAAAGCAAAGTATCTGGAATAGGATATTTCTGTGCTCCAAAAGGTGCTCGCTTTGTGCCGATGGAAGGCAGACAGTAATTCAACGCCTAAGAATGCAATACCTACAGATAACGTATTCCTATCATTCGCGCTGAGTTTCAAAGAATACATAAATATAAATTTATAAATCTTTGTCCAGAAACGAACCCAATAATATTGAAGCCCATCAATGCAAGAGCTCCCTAATTTGTTTCTCATTAACCAAACACAGACCGACTTTCTATTAAATGTCAGATATTCTTAAAACCAGTGTGCAAAAACGTTTAGAAAAATTAGTTCTTATTTTACTCGTACCGGAGCTGCGAATCGGTTTTGAATTTTAAATCGGTTCAAGCTCAGACTTCAAATTTATTTGAACCGAACCAAATTCTTTTCGAAAATGTTTAAAAATGAAAAACCTAATGAAGACGCAGGCTCAAGGCATAAATAAATTGGATCCCAGTCATAATTATTTTATTATTAATTATGAATTAAATTTGTTCCCTCCAATGTTGTATAAAAAAAGTATGGCTTGCAATATTTTCGACGTAATGGGCAGTATTAAATTAAAATGCGTATTGTTTAAGTAAAGTTTTCAAAATATAATATAAAATAGATATAGACAAATTAAGGTTTGGACCAAAATCTGAGCTTATGTATACAGAAAATTTGATTCACGAACCGAACCTAAAGGCACGGAGTTGTTTCGAACCGCGAACCGACATACTCTTTTGGCCTTCCAGCACCGGACAGTACAGCTGGGTTTGAGAAATCTGAATCTTACAAAATCTGCTACGAATCACATTTATAATACTATCAAAAAACATTATATTGGCGGCCATGGCGTATACGCAACTCACAAGAGCCACGCACATACATATGTATGTTTGTATCAAATAGGTATATTGATGTATATTTGTGTATGTGAATTGCCGCAAGGCTTGAGTATTATACTCTGGCTTGAATGCCCAAAACACAAACGCTTTCATGTTGAACTCAAATTACACAAATGCTTTCAATTTCTTCGACCTCAGATGTGCGGGCTGAGGGGCAGTCGAAGCGCTTATAAAGATTGAGTAAGCCAAGGAAACGACAAACGACAGCTTATCCAGCATTTAATAAATAGACATAGTCACAACTACTTGAAAATCATTGTGCAATTGAATAATTGAACAATAATGTCGCTGGTGTTGTCATTTTGTGCAACATATAATCAAATGTCGTCGCTCTACATTTTCGGGTGTGCGTTGCCTTTATGTTCTCATTCTTTTTATTCATTTAAGAAGACTGTTGCACAATTAATAATTATAAATGAGTTGCTATGGGAGTGTTTCGAGCAAGTAGACTGAGCCCATCTTGTTCTCATTCTTCTGTTTAATTTAAGAACAGTGTTGCACAATGAATAAATATAGTAGAGTAGAGTCTTACCATCTAGGCTAAGCCCGTCCTATTCTCAATCTTCGCATTCTTTCAAGAATAGTGTTGCACAATGAATTAACATAACAGAGTTGCTATAGGCAATGATTTGAGTATCTGGGCTAAGCCCATCTTGTTCCCATACTTCTTCTTTATTTAAGAACAGTGTTGTGTAGGTAACATATAAAGCTGAGTTGATGTAGGAAGTGTGTGGAGCATCAAGGCTAACCCCATCTTCTATTCATTTCTCTTTTCCATTTAAGAACAGTGTTGCACAATAAAAAAGCAGTGCTGCTATAGGACGTGCTTCGAGTATTTGGGAAAAATCCACCAAGTCAATTTTTCTGTTTTATTGTCATAACTTTTTATCACAATTTGTTTGAGTCTTCTTGTTTATGTTGTCAATTTCCCTTTTTGTTTTTCTTTGCACAATTTCAACAATTTGTACAACTATAACAAAAACTGATGACGGGACCTTGAATCAAAATAGATTTTAGTGCGCGACGTTCGCCGATCTCCGCACGTCACCAAATGCCATCTAAAAAGACCAAATGAATATTTTTGGCCCGTATTTGTATACGATTTTTCGATTCGGTTCGGTTCTGTTCTGTTCAGTTCTATTTTCTTTTGCTTTTTCTTTTGAAATATTTTTCAAAATGCTCGTTAGAGAAAAATGCAGTTGCTATAAAATACAAATGCCTTTGTATCAGATAAGTTAGATCCGAACTCAAGTGGCGCGCCACAAAAGATTTAGATTTATATTCACCGCAAATGGAAATGAAATGAACCACGAAATTGAATTCTATGCCATGTTAATTTTAATGGAACAAATAAGAAAACTGCCACAGCAAAACTGAGTGCATGACTACAAAATACCCGGAATTATGGAAATGTTTGCTTTCAGCTTATCTTATTGATATAATTATTGTAGAACACAATAAAATTTGTGCAACTACAAGAAAGTTTTTATGACCTCTTAACCAGATATGATTTACAATTAAGAAACTAAAAAAAAGAGGTGTTTTATATATTGTATCATGTCCGTAAATCCAACAAAAGTTTTCGGAGTACGTTTCGAGCCCATGTCTAGCATTAAGGTTTGCTTTATAAACCTTTTCTACATCTGGAAACTTCGTTTAATCTTTCAATTAAATATATTTACATATGTATATATTTTTAATTTGACTTTTATGCAGACAATTTGAAAAATCTCGTTATATTTTCAAACATCCAATAAAAATTTGCTTTGCACCAAACCAGTTTTCCTTTGTGTTTGGAATTCCTGGACCCAAGCGGCTCGGTTCGAAGTCGATTTGTAGCTTT